TCCTTGGTCTGTAATTATACTGTACGCTGTATGATCGATGGTTCGTCTACCCCCCGTTTTCCTGTCCTGGCACCACTGTACCAGCACGCAAGGACCCGTATTATCGCGGATTTAAAATGGAGACGCTTTCATTCACAGAATCCTACGACTGACGATAAAATTACTCTAGGAACGTCCAGGAAAAAATAATACTTTGAAAGCAAGTAGGAGTGTGTTTAAGGTCTGATTTCAGTGCGAGCGGTACGTCTCTGTGTCCCAGAAGATCTGTCAAAAATGAAGTCTCTGTCCTTGTCCCAAGTAACCGCGTCTTCAACAAAGGTTTTTCAAGGTCAGACGTGTTCCTGAGGGACGCTGATACCGGAGAGGAGAGTCCTTGTGCTTTTCCGAGATCGAACGCAGTAGCGCCATATCTGTGGATGTTTTGTAACGAGGTATAAAGGCCGTGATGCTGACGCCAAAGACCACCCATGATCTAGTAGTTTCAGGGTTCGCACCCTTTGGTTAACTTACTACTCGGTTGGTTCATGTGACACCGTATAAACCCGTGAGCTTGTAAGGATTCCCGTATCACTTTACCTGCCGACTCAGGTGTCTGGGTAAAAACGACCCGGTGCTGATTTGTATAACGCAGCGAGGTCGGGTTCTGCCAGGTAACTGGGGGGGTTTTCTTTGGTTCTATCTCTTATATTCCCCTTTATTTATTATTTCCTTGTAATAATACGCCGACGATGATGTGGACATAAATGTTAATTATCAGTTTAAACCTCTTCTCTGTCCTTGCCACTACAAACTTGTTTTCTCTTACCCGATCTGTATTTTTAAACACACTTTCCAGCGTACGGGATCGCAGGTTTGTGAGGCCACACATCGCACGCTAATCAAAGTCTCCGCTAGTCTAATCGAATATGTTTGCAAACTGTGTTTCTTATTAACACTTTTAAGTGTTAGGCAAAACGCGTGATCACCAGCTACTGACGACGAGTCAGTGGTTCTTGGTACTGCTGACAGTTTTGTGAACACACTGGAACAGGCGTTTTTTATATGAGCGGGGTGACTACCCTACAGGTTCAGCGACAGAGGTTTGATCCCCGGCAGGGTTAGAGAAACTGTAGGGAGTACCCAGACCACATTCAGTGGATGTCAGGGGTAAAGCTGGGAAATAAAGCTGACCACTCATCTCGATCCAAGGCAGAAGAGAAGAATGCGTGGCGCTAAACCTCCATTCCCCCACATACATTCATACCGTGTTGCTTAAAATCACCAGGAACGTCTTTATTTATACGCGTTTTTTATGCGTTGAGGTTTGTTTTTTTATCATAATGTTTACTTTTCGAAGCTACTGGACGGATTTATAAGACATTTGATATTGAATGTTTAACGAAAGGAAATTCTGGACGAATCTGAGAAAGATGGCAATCTATATGTACGTATTTATTATCAGCAGCCTCTACCAGTGGATTTTGTCGAAATTCGGTATTGACGTTGCTGTGCGAAGCTTTAAAATTATAATAGGAACCATTTCTGTAAAATTTGATCGATTAAAATGGATTTTTCGTAGGGATAAAAGTGAAGTTCGATGTCCAGCGAGCTCGAGATGAATGTTGAGGATGAAGCTGCAACCGTCTTTACCCCTTCAGCTGGCGTTATCCAGACCTACATG